GTCCTTGGGGCATGCCTTATTCAAATCTTTATAGTCCACACACATTCTTAATTTATTCCCCTTTTTAGGGACTACCACTACGTTTGCTAACCAATCCGGGTATTTAACCTCCCGAATGGACCCTATTTTTAGGAGTTTAGATACCTCGTCTTTGATGAATGCATGCTTGACTTCGGACTGGGGTCTCCTTTTCTGTTTGACTGGATGAAACTTCGGGTCCATGCTCAGCTTGTGAGTGGTTATGTCTGGCGGGATCCCTGTCATATCAAGGTGGGACCAAGCAAAACAATCTATGTTAGCTATAAGAAATTGAATGAGTTTTTTCTAAGCTCGGGGCTTAACCCCGTGCCCAAGTATACCTTTCGATCGGGCAAATGCTCGATCAATATGACCTATTCCAGCTCCTGGACCGTCGATTTAGTGGCGTTGGAGTCATCGGGGGCTATAAAAGACATGGGAACCCTGTAGTCATCGTCTTCATCGTGTTGGTAATTGCTATTTGGCTTCTTCCTGATGGTCGAACCTGGACCTTTTGTCGTTTTAAGTGCGGATATTGGGGCCACCTCTTCGACCACGAATATTTCCTTTGCGGTTGGTTGTTCTCCATAGATCGTTTTAATCCCTCATAGCATCGGGAATTTCAACACTTGGTGCAGAGTCGAGGGTACTGCCCTCATGTTGTGGATCCATGGCCTCCCGAACAGAGCATTATACCTCATATCTCCTTCGATTACATAGAACTTGGCTTCCTGAATGGTCCCGACAACATTCACTGGTAATGTTATCTTCCCTTTAGTGGTTTCACATGCCATGTTGAATCCGTTTAGAACTCGGACTGCAGGCACGATTAGATCTTGTAGACCTAGCTATTTTACGACCCTCAATTTGATGATATTGACCGAGCTACCTAGATTAATTAGCACACGCTTAACTCGAGATTTATTTATGGGTACATATATTGCCAATGCATTGTTGTGGGACTGCACGATCCCTTCGGCATCCTCGTCGTTGAAAGACAAGGTCCCCTCCAGCGCGTAATCCCGAGTTTGTTTCTCCCTTGTGATGGATACTTTGGTGCGCTTTAGCATCGGCCCCTACGGGACGTCGACCCCACCGACGATCATGTTAATGACGTGCTGAGGTTCTTCCTGTTCGATCTGTTTATTAGAATCTCTATTCCTGAAATGATTCTTGGCTCGATCGCTCAGGAACTCTCGGAGATGTCTGTTATTGAATAACCGAGCTACTTCCTCTCTTAATTGTCGGTAGTCCTTTGTTCTGTGGCTGTGAGTGCCTTGATTTTTTCACATTAGATTAGGATCCCTTTGGGCTGGATTGGACTGTAGAGGTCGAGGCCTCCCTGTTCGATTTTGGTTCGCAGTCAACGTCTCTCTTGACTCTGTAGACGGCTACGACGGGATAAACGGACCCAGAAGGGGCCCCAAGTTGATCCTCTTCGACCCTGATTTTTTATTGATACCGGTTATGCACGTCGGCCCAAGTGACAACCGGATATTCTATCATATTTTGTTTTAACTATTGTAAAGCCAACGAGCTTTGAGCATTGAGTCCCTGGGTGAAGGCTTGAACGGCCCAATCATCCGCGATCGGAGGCAAGTCCATCCGTTCTATTTGAAACCGGGACACAAATTCCCTGATCATCTCATTATCCCTCTGTTTCATTTTGAAAAGATCTGACTTCCTGGTCTCGACCTTTATAGCCCCGGCGTGTGCTTTTACGAAAGAATCTGCAAGCACAACAAACGAGTCAATAGAATTAGGAGGTAAGTTGTGATACCATATCATAGCTCCCTTGGACAAAGTTTCCCCGAACTTTTTCAGCAGGACAGACTCGATCTCATCCTCCAAGTTGTTCCCCTTGATGGCACACGTGTAGGAGGTCACATGCTCATTTGGGTCGGTCGTTCCGTTGTACTTAGGAATCTCGGGCATGCGGAACTTCTTAGGGATCGGTATCGGAGCTGCGCTCGGAGGAAAAGGTTTTCGAACAAACTTCTTGGAATCTAGGCCCTTTAATATCGGTGGTGCTCCTAGATTTGGTCGACCCTGGAATTGTAGGTTTCTACCTTTTTGTCATTGACTTCGATTTTCTTCTCTCTCTATTCTATCCGTTTTGTCAGTTCCTCGAGCATCTTTATGATCTCGGGGTTGGTCCCCGATTCATTTTCATTCGGCCTCCCCGTGATCGGTTCATTTCTGCGGGTAACTCCCCGGGATGGCTCGGGCTCAATTCTACTTGGCACGTGGCTTTGGTTCTGCAACTGGACAATCGCTGCCTCTTGAGCCTGTAACATTTCGAAGATCACCCGCAAATTGATTCCATCACCTTTACCGCTATGCGTATTCTGGGTGATCGATCGGACTTCCCTGCGGACGCTATTCTCTTGATCGGTAGGCAAATTTGCATTGATGTCCACATGCGAACTCGCGTTGATCGGGTCCGCGGCTGGAACTTTGCCGAGATCGGGGGGGGGGGGGGGGGGACCTCGTTACCGGGCGCTACGTTGTTGTTCTCGCCATGGTGGCCAGATTCAGCATCCATGTTTAGAGGGGCTGATTGGGAGTTCGATATTTTGAACTTTGGCCTGAAATTAGACACTTCAAAGAAAAAGTGTAAAATAGGGTATGTTATAGAACTTTGTATCAAATAGCCACTATTATCGTTAGCCCTACGGTGGGCACCAAACTGTTTACCCTTAAAATCGGATAACAATTAAATTTGTAAGTGATTTTAAGGATACGCGGTTTAATTTGATACAAAGTGATAAATTAAGTTACTATTGAACAAATAAAGATAAAATAAATTCAAACCACACGAGTAGGATAGTTCCAGCCTTAGTGAAATAGTCACTCTTGAGCCGGGCTCACCACTGCCGGCACCAATGAAAAAGAGAAAGAGTTAGTGATAGAGAAAATAACGATATATTGCTTTTGGTATGCGTGTTACAATATGCTTCATGAATTATCAGACCCCTTTTATATAGTAGGGAGTCCTACTTTAGGTACAAATCTATAAAAGGTAAAAAAATCTTCTGATTAACTGATTGCCGGTTCCTTATCGATACGTGCCGAGATCCCAGTCATGATATCCGGATGGTCACGGATGTTTCGGCCTGCTGTTAGCTATGCTTGATTGTCCGACAATGTTCTTCGAAGTCGTTCGAGGCTAGGACCGATTCCGGAACCATGACCTCGACATTCTCGAGGGCAGGCGTCATGCCTCCAGATTCTGGGTCGGTGGGACTTTTGGCTCGATATCGGTCCCTTGCCACCATGTCTCGAGCCTTGCTTATCTTGTCGAAGGTTGGGGTTCATCATGAACTTGGTTTTACCCGTATACAATAATAAACAGAGTTTATTCCTCACATAAATAGATAAAATACAGTAAAGTTAAGGCATCTAGTTTGTGAACAAGAACTCCGTTTTCTAAAGATTCAAAGTACAGTTTGGGGCTATTATTTTGATATTTAGTTCAACAATTTTTCTGTTGCGTTATTGATAAGTACACTAATGTTGTTCTCACCTCGCGATTTAATCTTCAGGAAAGAGAAGAAACAATAAAGTTGTGCTAAGACCTAAGTCCGTTGTCGGATCTCTCCCCGAAGCCCGAACCATTCTAGCATGTAAAGCAGACCACAGGAACATCACATATGAAATATGTACGGAGTATATAAGTACGTCAAGAATTCTAATAACCTGTTTGGCCAAACTTCTACCTAAGTCAAAAGTATTTTTTTTTCTTTCAAAAAAGTATTTTTTTCCCCTCAATTTGAGGTATTTGGCCAAGCTTTATTTTGGGGGAAAAAAGTATTTCTGGCTAGAACCAAAAAAAATAGTTTCTCTTCAGAATCAGAAGCAATTTTGACTTTTCTTCCGACCAAAAATATCCTTAGCAAAATATTATATATACCAAAATAACCTTACTTAGTTTAAGCTATTAAGTAATATATAATAAATTTTGTAATGAATTTTCATATTCGCTGAATGTTTTATATCCAAATTATCTTAAAAGAATAAAGTACTTTTTAAAATTTATTTTTATATTTTACTTGAATAAAATAAAAAGACTTAATTATTATCTTTAATAATAAATATGTGATTATTTATCAACTTATATAACATTAACTGTTAAATAAATCTTTTCATGTCCTTATTCGTAATTTGACACTTAAAAGAACTTTTTGAAAAGTTTGGCCAAACACAAGTTGTTGTTTAAAAATGCTTTTCAAATTGATTAGCCAAACATAAACTGTTTTGCTTCAAAAATACTTTTTCGAAAAATACTTTTAAAAAAATCACTTTTTAAAATAAGGTTATTTTTCCAGCTTGACCAAACGGGTTATAATACTCCGTTGAACGTTTTCTAATTTCCAAATTAAATAAAAAACAAGACCTGATGTCAAACTCTTATTTCGAGCTTTTCTAAGAAAATCGTTGAATGACAGACATTATTTGTATCCACACTATGATAGCAATTAACAACTTTATCTAAATACCTCTAGTACATGTATATGTACCATCTATGGATATGATATGCTAGCACAAACTAAACTACCTCTATGCCTAGAAATATCTATTTCAAAGGTCTTTGCCTAAAATCTGCTGTCAGTTATATATTTATATATTAAAAATATATATTTTTAACTGTTTCAAAAATAATAGTCGATAAAATATATTTTTTATATTATATATATATATATATATGTTTTTTTTTTTTTTTTAAGCTAGCAAATGCAATTATTTCAGACGACTAGCTAATTTTGTATTTTGCCTTTATCTATCCTTGTCTAATGGACCGACTCAGGACAAGAACATGCTAGAGTCTGGTGATAGGCTTGGAATCAGTTTAATATGGGCTGGGCTGGTCCGGCCCGTTTAACATTAGTAATTGTTTGCAAATTCTCCCCTAAAGAAAAACTTATTTTCAATTAGGTACATGAATAAGAAGAACATATATAAAGGGTAAAGGTACGAAAAAGCCTTTCTGGAAAGCCTATGCAATTTCTGAGTGCTCCATTCTCTGAAATCCTACTGTAAAGACCCAATTCAGCACTCCCGATTTTGGGAATGGACAGCGGGGCAAACTGGTCGGAGAAGGTGGAGGATCTCGTTGATGGCGGAGAAATCAATGAAGCCATTTCTTTACTAGAAAAAATGGTTTCAAAGCTAGAAATTGAGTCCCAAATTTCTCCATCAGATTCTCAACTTGTTAAACAGTTATCTACTGCTCTACTGGATTTGTCCAAACTCTATTCTACTAAAGGATTATCTTTACAAGCTGACCAGACGCGCTCAAGGGCATTTGTCATTAAACAGCAGCAAGATTCTATTAAAGAAAATAGGTCAGAACACCAAATATTTTCTTGTCCTTCTCTTTGTTTTGGTTGCGAAAGAAAGGGGAAACTTTGCATTTCTTGAGTTTATATGACATAGGTATCGATTATTCTTGAGCTTCTTATTCCGGTTTTGGTTTTCCAGGGATGTAAATGCAAACAAGGAGTCAACTGGTGGTGGAACTTCGGGAGGTGGGCTTTCACAAAACGAGGCTTTTGCATTTAATTAGTTTTCCTCTTTATTTGGCCTTTGTCTAGATTCTTGATTTGTTATTTGCTAAACTCCAAGTGTTCGATTAACTTCAAATGTGCTAAAAGGGGTATAGTGATTGCTTTCTTAACAAATTTCCGAACTCTTATTCATATCAGTTACAATGTTGTCACAACTTCTAATTATCCCAAAAACCTTTTTCCCAGTAAAACATTTTCCACGAAAAAATATTTTCGAATTTCTTTCATTCTTTCTGCATTTCTTGTTCTCGGACTTATTAGCATTGCCTCATTTTTCAGGTGGTAAAGAGGATCACCTCGGCTTGCAAATTGAAACCTCACAGAATGATGATGCGCCTGATGATGGTACATACCCTACCCTCTAAATTAGAGACTCTTACATGTCTTCATTGAACTTAGGCTATTATATTTGGAATGAGACCATTTGGAATTAGATGTATGAATATCTTATTAAAAGAAGAAAGAAAAAGAATTGGTTGTATGAATTCTCTCATGGTGTTGCATTTTAGTATTTTGATTTCCGCTTACCCATCAAAAGGATACAACTTCTAAGACAGTAGAGATTCTCAGTTAAGTGTGCAGTTATGGATATGATACCTATCAAAAACAATATATTGTTTGTCGACTAGAGAACAATGTCGATTTCCTATATTTGTCGAAACTAGCCTCTTTAACTGTATTGGTTCCTTTCGTCCATGTTAATATGGAGAACGTGTCACATTAAGCTTTGCATACATTTGAAAAGTTCGTTTCACTTGTGAACTTTGCGAGCCACCAGTTAAGACTACAAAATTGGTTCAGTGTCAATTGGTATAGGAAGTTGGCTTTATGCCCTTCCGTATTGCCCATTACTGGCTCCTAGTTAGTGTATATTGAATTTTGAAGAAATAATCTTGTGGTGAATACAGATTGGGAAGCTATTGCTGATCGTGCAGATGAATTACTTTCCCCACAGTACTTGCCAGAAGTCTCAAAAATTTCTTTGCAGGATTCAAAAGTTCAGGGTGTCACCTCTCAGGGTCCCAAGCGACGTGGAAGGGGTACATTCGCCTATCAGAAACAAAGTCTCTACAGTGATCAGCACTCTGATGGGCCTGCCAATGATGACTTTGAAGATGAAACTATTTCCCATGCTTCAGAAGGGAGCTCTGATACAAAAAAATGTATGGCTGCGTTCTTTTCAAGCAAGGCATCATTTGGACGTCAGCTGTTATCATGTCATTATTTTGATTATCAATATATTTCTTTTCATTTGAGAAAAGATTTGGCTATCAGCGTATGCCTAGTCAACTCAGTTTTTCTGGTTACAGAAATGCTATATTTGTATGTGTTTCAAAATGTCACACTAAGCAATCCAATGTGTTATGTATGTCACAGTAAGTATTAAATATGTAACCACATTTTCTCATTGTAGTCTGATATTTTCCTTAATGGGAAAGAGGAAAAAGGTCTTTTATGGGAATTTTACTCTACGTTTTATTTCTCAGTTATTCCTTATAGTAGGAAAATAAATGGAGCAAGCGTAAACTTTTGTGCTTGGTATGTCCTTGGTTGAAGTGTGCACAGTCGCCTATTTGTATTGTTACTTTTGTTAATGGTGACATGGAGATATTGTTTTTCATAGGGCTAGATTATCATTCAATATTGACATAAGAATAAATATTTTATCAGAAAGCAGAGGCAAATGTAATTGAGTTTACTCCTACTGAATTTTCAGAACAGACTTGATTCCACCGAATGACACTTCAGGAAATTTTGGCACATAAGTCACATTTACTAGATTGCTTAAAGAGGCCTTAAGTTACTGCAAAATCTATTAGGAGGATCCTGTTTATACTTTTGTGCTTTGACTTGTATTATGCATATTAGAAAACCAGCTATGTTTGACTGAATATGCTTTATTGCTTTGTTTTCTCATTTCTGCGGCGTGTAGCTACTTGCCATTTGGTACTGAAGTAGTGATGAGCTTTATGTTAACTTGTGGTGGCAACTTGATTCTCCTGTTCCCAACCAAGTACTTCAAATTTTGTAAGGGCGAGTTTGTTTGTTTTGACATATGGTGATGTAACGACTTGAATTGGCCTTTCTTGCCTACTATTTCTGATAAAGCATGTGCAAAAATACAGTGATGCGAATAAAATTTGTTTATTATGTCTCATGTGAATGATAGACCTTGGTGGAAATTAAGAATCTTCGTTAGGTCTTAAATTCTTAGTAGTTTTCCACTTGTGGGAAACTACTGGGTTTGTTGTTGTTTTGTTTGTTGTTAGGTCTTAGATTCAAATGTGAGCACTTAATATTAGAACTGTTCCCAACTTATAATGAAAGGATGAGAGCACATGACAACAACAACTACTACGACTCAGTCCCAAACAAAGTTGGGGTCAGAGATATGAATCCTCTCTTCTTTCTTCAGCTCAACTTATATCATCATCATGCCAAAATAAAATAATAGTGTAGTGGAACGAGTGCGCTTGACGTCTGATAAATTTCTCTAGAATTGTTCTCACTGTTTCTGCTGAAATAATGTCCATATTGTGCATGACAACATTCTCATTTTGAGTTACTCCTCTTCCCCTCTCCATTTAGTGGCTGACTTTTCCTCTCTCACTTCTTTTATGTATTTTTTCTTTTGTAAATTTCAGTAGACTATGGAACACGCCACGTCTTGGTTCTGGCTGATTTTTCACCAAGCACTAAAGCAAATGATCTCGAGAAATTGTTGGAGAAATTTAAAGACGATGTTGCAATTCGCTGGGTCAACGATACAGTTGCACTTGCAGTTTTCAGAACACCATCCCTTGGTAATTTAGTTCATTCTCTTTATCTGTGTTTGAAATTAAAATTGATTCCTGCCAAAGGCGTAGCATTTAATGACTCTCCGTGCTTTCTTGATGTTTAATTTATGTATTGGCGTCTTGGTTCTATTACAAAGGGAACCCTTATCCTAGTTTATTTGATTGTTAACTGCAAAGTTGAGAGCTAATATGTCTGAGTTTCTCTGCCAGATGAATTCAACTAAATCATCAGTCCTTTACACTATCAATGGCTAGGAAATTATTTTGCTTTTCATAGAAAAATGTGTCAGATGGACATTGGAGGTCAGATTTATATTTCCAAAGTATGGTATGTGAGAGCCCTTTGGTCTAGACTGAAATGGGAAGGACTAAAGGGGAGGGACATCACAGTCAACAAAAATCGTATAGCCTATAATACAGATGGAGTTTCGTTCTTGTAATGATTATAAAAAGAAGGGGTTCACTTACGGAGCAAACAAATTTCAAAAGAAGCAAATAGTTAGTCAAATTTGCTTGAGCATAAATGTCACTAATGGAGAAAGAGAAGCTAATCTTTAGATTTTTGGATAAGTAGGAAAGTTTTTCCAGTTAATCAAATGTTTCTGTCTACCTCTTTTGGAATAGGAGATTCACAAAGTCCTTTATATACTTTGAGGCTTATCTAGTAAATGAAACTCCATTTCATTTCAAAATATTAGAAGAAGCAGTAAAAATGGTATGTTTTGTTTTGTATTCTTTCATGGAAAATGTTTTTGAAATGAAACCCAGATTGTGGACCCTCCCTTCCCGTCCCTTCTTTAAAGGTAAAACTCTTTAAAGGAGAAGTGTAAACAGGGAAAGGAGTAATTACTTCCTGTTCTAAAATACTTCGAATGGATATGCTTTGAATAGATTGATATGCTCTTCAATGTTTTGTAACCTAAAAAGATTTTTTTGTCAATTTATCAAACAAATTTCCTATCCTAAAGTTTTTCCTGTTTTAGGTATGTTGACTTAGTTGATTGCTGACTGCAGACAATACAAAAAGAAAGCTCTGTCATTTTTGTGACACATTTCCTACTAAGATTACCTTCAAACACGAAGGAAACTACTTATTATTTTACTTCTACGACAGCGTGGACCTTTTTCTTTAAGGAAAAAGTAAAATAGCTAACATTAAAAACCTTACACCACACATAGGCTTGTTTTTTATTTAATATAAAATTAATGCAATAACACAAATCTGTCCAGCAGCTTTTATGTATGGTTTGAACCCCTGCATCCATTAAATACATGTTTGAAATCTCTGCCCAAATCAAAAGAACTAGTTTCCTTCTTAAACTTGATCCCCACATCAAAAACATACTTGGCACTTCATTTTGCCAAACTTCTTGATGCTTGGATAGCCAAGGTTTTGGTGGTTTTGTGGTCTACTATAATGCACGTGACATCACATTAAGCGTTGTGGCTTTGATGCTTTTCTTATTTTATTATAGGAAATATAAGTTGATAGAAGCATTTGTGTTCTTCTAGGATTGGATTTTCTTTGTAATTTCCAAGTCTGTACAATCTACTGTAAATACACAGTTATGACGAAGTTTGCTGAACATTGTGTATTAAGTCCATTTAAGTTTATCTCATACAGCTCTGATAAGGCGAGACTGGCTCCAGAGAGATCTCTCTAGAGAAAATGTTCCAAATGACCCCACATACCCCATCTATTTAAAATATAAAAACTAGCATTAAATGAACACTTATATTGCAGAGTTCTATTTTCCATTTCCTTAAAAATTTCTTCGCAGCAGGAAAAATATTGGATTTGAGAAGTATAGTTACTAAGAATAATTAAAAAGGAGAAAGATAAATTTCCATTGAATCATGGATACAGTGCACACTTTTTTGATGAAGTATGGGTAGAATGCACACTTAATTTGATAGTTCGAGGATAATCGACTGAGATTTACAAGTTGGTGGTACTCGTTAGAGATACTTAGGAGAATCTACTGAAAATCCAAGTTGAACAAGTGGAAAAATATTTAACATGTGGTCACAAAATTTCACATAAATGTTCCTGCTTTGATAACAAAACTATTATTTATCATGGTCATATTTAGTGCTTGTAACCATGTTTCAGCTACTCTTATCTTGTGATGCAGCATTACAGGCCAGCAACTCGATACAATGTCCATTTACAGTGAGAGTACTGTGTGAGGAGGATGAACTTTTGAGCTCAATTCCGCCAAGAGGTAACCTTGCTCCTCTCCTCCAATTTGCTTCAGCACCAATTCAGATCAATGATCTAAAAAAAAATCTCCTTTCCCAATATTTTTCAATATAAACAGTTCGAATATTTGACTTGACAATAGGATAAAAGAGGATTTATTTCTGTTAATTGAAATTGTCGTGGAAGTTTGAAAGTGGAAGAGAAAAATAAAATCCTTAGCAGACAGAAAATAGATGAAATTGTGGCAACAGAGTGACGTGCAATTTGAAAATTTTTATTGCAGATTTCAGTCTTCTTTCATGAAATTTATAAGACGCTGGGAAAAAATGAAGACAAGTATCATGGTGATTGAATGTTTAAAAAATCTCATATTTATGTGTCATATGCTTGTATTTAACATATACTATATATGGATACGTGTATGTACACACACACACACGTATTTGTGTGTGACCGTATATATAGAATAACATCTTTGATGTATTGAAGAGGATCAAAAAGGGTGAAATTGTAGCACCAGAAATCTCACTACATCATTATGCAGTTCTTTTTAGTCCATTAGGGAGCAGAAACCTGACCTTGTATTTAGGTGCGATATGCTTGTACTATCAAATGGAGAAGCACTACCAGTGAGTTATGTGATAGAATTTACCTACCAAAGTGAGGTATGTTCTATGGAACAGTTATAAGACTGGCATATATGGTATTGAATGTTAGGCCGCTAAAGGTCAAAAGATTCACAAGATGAATGTTGTAGAGATGCGGATGCTAAGATGGATGTGCGATCGTACAAGATTAAAAATGATAACATTCACTAGAGGCTGCAAGTAGCAAACATTGAGGATAAAACGTGAGATGATTTGGTCAATCTCCTACGTCAACTAGGTCCATAGGTGTGAAACTATGGTGAGTGAAGGCGTTAAAAGGGGGCAATGTAGGCCTAAAATAATATGGAAGGAAGTTGTCTTGAGCGATAGGGCATAATGGAAGAAAAAATCCTTATAGGCGATATTTACTAACTGGGAATAGGTTTTAGTCTTGTTAGTACGTTGATTTACATGCCAGTAAAAATATAGAGAACTTTTAGTATTATTATTATTGCTACTACTATTGTTTATATATATATATATATATATATATATATATAACTTAATTTTCACTATTACTTATATTTGGAAATCCGATGGTTTGTTCTTGTGGGTGGTTCGAGGAAAATATATAAATGTTGACTGAACATGCTTCGTTCTGATCTGCCACAGTTTTCTTATGCCTTTTTCTATCCCTGCTTATCCAGTTATTACTGGAAAATTTTGTTGTAAGATGCTTTCTGGTTCATTTATGGTACTCACTAAATGTATTTTATAGATCTGGAGCCCCCTCGTAGAAGACCCCCGACATCAGCTAGAACCGCCCAGAGATTGATTGCTCAAAGTATGGGTATAAAGTTGCCTTCTACGGACTTTGGATCCAGAGAATATAGGAGACAGGAGGAAGCCAGGAAGAACAGGATAGTTTCAAGACAAAATATGAGGAATGATGCTTGGGGCGATGATGCCAACTAAGGATTCATTTGCTCAAGCTCTCTAAAAATTTCTTTTTTTCTTCGGTATGCATTAACCAGTGTTGCCTTACTTTTTGAGTTTTGCATATCTTCACCAGTTTTGAACAGATGAATAATGTCTTAAGGAATTCTTGATATTCTCCCATGGTTAAAGTAGGTACTCTACTCATCCTTGTATAGCTACAGAAATGAGCCGAACCCTATTCAATTCTCAGTTTTCTGATGTATATCTGTGATGTCAAAATTGTATTATTTGTTTTGGCTGGCAATCTCATTGGAAGCTGTGACTTATCATTTGTTTTGCTTATTTCTGGCTGGTGTTATTGCTTCTCTTTCCGTAATTATATTATTTTTCTGGCTGTTGTTATTGATTCTCTTTCCGTAATTCTTTGTCATAACTGCTTTGAGCGGAGAACAACCTCTCTACCTTCACAAGGTAGGGGTATGGTATGCGCATATACTATATCCTCCTCAGGCCCCACTTGTGGGAATACACCGAGTATTTTGTTGTTGTAATATGAAATTGATGTTCTGACGGGGGCAAAACATTGGCACGGGATGTTCTTAAGTTCAAGAAAGTGTCATATTTTGACTTAGATTGTTTTAGACAGTAAAATGGAGAATGAATGATGCTGGGGCGGTGCCTGGTGAGGTCTTTTCTATGAGAGAGTTAGCTCATTCTGCACAACTCATTATCATTTGTTGCATATTTTGGGGCCTGTATCATGGCACTCAATGGTGTGGCGTAGTGGTGAAAGTGTCATACAAAAGTATGAGAGAACAAAGTTCAAACTTTTTACTGGGTTTCATAAATAAGAGGTGAACAATATCATTATCGCGAGTAGAACATAATCAAGAGCCAAAAGGGTATGGTCAAGTTGTTGATGTTTTACTTTAGTCGTGTCGAGCGAAACTAAATTACCCTTTTGTTTTCAATCCTCTCACTTTACAGTCTACTCATTCTTTAATTATTTGTTCTTTATGATTTATGAAGTCCAATATTTATAGTATGGATGGTCATAATCTCAAAAATATAATGGATCTTGCAATTGCATGCATATTATGATTAGGAAAGAATAACGAAGGTTATTATAGTAGTTATTTATTTTACCAAATAAAATTGGTTAGTTGATATACAATTTGATAGTATGCATGAATTAATATTATAGGTTCATTAATATTATGTGTGTTGCATGCATATTTGTTTTCGCAAAAAATACTACAAGGGAGTGACGTTATAAATATTTAAATAATACGGCTTGGAATTTGTGATATAGAATGAGATGTCTTGAAAAAAGTCAACATGCTTCATGAAAAAGGAATTATAGTACTAATTTGTTTATCTACAATATTTTCTATGTATGTATTGCTTAAGATTTAAAGTTTATGATGGATAGTGACGTATCTATATTATACTTTTTCATGTTGGCAAAATATTTGTTAGGTTGTAATTTAAATGTTTAGCAAAATAAATATATATAGATCAACTAAATGAAATTTTGATAGCCAAATGGTCCATCCATTATGTTATTTACGTTTCTTATTCTCTTTCTTTCTCTCTATATATCTGTATGTATGTACTCATGTGTCTATCAACTCCCAAATAGACATATTTATGCTTCCTTGAACAAGGAAGTATTAGAAGGGAATAGGCTCAGCTAATTGTCATCACTGCTTAAAATTTAAAGTTATCGCTGCTTAAAATTTAAGAGATCTCGTAGAAGTTTCCCACATCTATAAAACAGATAATCTAAACATAGTCAAAGTATCAACTGATTGTCATCTTTTTTGGTCACTATTCTAAGAATTGAAAATGGGGCAAAATAGGCTTTCTTATAAAAGTAGTAATATGAATTAAAAAGTTAGGATGAGTGTACAGTGGCGACTCTTGAACACATCGTCATGTATTAGGTATTTTTCCTTTGGTCATGCACTTCTTTAGTAGACGACGTGATCCAAAATTGTTCCAATTTTATATTAACAGTGATGTTTTTCCCTTCCCGGAAGTAAATATGTCTAAAAACTAGTATTGTTTTCATTTGTATGTGGTGCATACTTCTTATTTTAATATTAATGTTTGAAACGTCATAAGGTGTTTAATCTACTCATAGTGAATAATATTTTATATGCTTAAAAGTTTCAAGAGTACTTTAACAATTCAATTCAAAACATGATGCGTTTATCACCGCAAAAAATAAACAATGTAACCAAATTTGGAGATTCTGCATTTTACTAATCGCGGAGATATTGGCTTCAAGACTTGGTTCTTGATATCGTTTTTGATTGGTTTTTTTGCTAATCATATTATAAACACTTAAAAAAAACTAAATTAAATAATTTCCTTTTACTGCCAAAGGAAAGGTGATGTCGTGCTATAATTCCATATATTTTGAAGTTATTTACCCTACTTGCTTGTTGTTTGGATGCTAATTTATGCGACAATTGAGCTTAATAGAGTTTATTTTACGTGTAGGAATGCTTGTACATAAAGTAGAAAAAAGTTGCACGAAATGGTACCTCGAAGCTACAAAATGGAGCAATAAAAGAAGATGTGCAAGGCAATAAAAAGTCACAACCCTAGACAGTGCAAGTCTTTGTCCAAGGCATTGTCATTGGCACCTCTGATAGCGCCTCATGCNCAGGAGACACTAATGGAGAGGCAAAAGGCTACGAGAACACTCGGAAGCAACGAATCACAAGAGTTTTCTCTTCCGTTCTCCCTTAATCTATAGTTTGATGCTTTCAATTATTATCATGGTTGTTAGTATGGTTATGAGTAGCTAAATTTTTTCATCTAGGCTTTGATGGAATCTTTTGAAGGATAATTTTCTATTGCATTTAATATAATTTTGCCGTTGGATTTTATCTACTTGTTCAACTATGTGATAATCTTAGTTGATTAAAGGGCCCTCAATTGACTATGCCTATTTAGTGTGTATTGCTTGAAAAATGGTACATATTTAGGTAGTTGTTGAACAACATCACTCCTAACGTATGTGAGGAATCAATACGGAAGGTTTAAAGATGGGATTAGGAATAATGAAACCTTAGTGCGATCTTGGTGAGTGGTGAACTAAAATCAGCTAGCGTAGTTCGGAAGAATTCGTCTAGTAAATTGTGGTAGTTTATCGAAAGAGAATTACGACACCCGAAGTACCCACGATCGGTAGAGGATACTTAGGCAAAATTGTAGGAAATGTAGCAGGAAGGATTCCGACAATTGGAGAAATTATAACTGTAGACCTCCTTAATTTAGTCTCCAACCCTTAATAGCTTTAGTTGTTAATTTATTTCTTTAATTTATTAGTTAATTAGTTAGACATAAAAATCTTAATATTTATAACTTAGGAATTGTTTGAGCTTGTCTTCTTGAATAGTTATAGTGAAACCTTAGTTTTCTGTAGGATTCGACTCCGGACTTTTAGATCGTATTATATTTGCATGGACCGCTTATCCTTTTTAGGATTAGAGTTGAGCGTGATCAAATTTTAGCGCCGTTACCAGGGAACTATTGGTGAAGTTGTAGCTATATATTGTTATGTTTCAAGTTTGAACTTTTATTTTGTTTTGTTTTACTTTATTTTTTAAATTTTATTTTATTCTACTTGTTAATTTTAGAAACATGACATCTTGGAATTATGAGAGTTTAGGTGTTAGTAATTTTACTGTTGATCCTCGTATATATTATGAAGGAAATCACTTGTGGCAAAATTATCAAAATATTCCCGAGAGCGAGTTATGTATACCAAGTCAATCTTATTTGTGGAATGCGTGTGATGGTCAAAATGATCACTTTCATGGTTATGCTTATATTTCTTATCCTCCCCAACCCTTACTATAATGGTTATAATTTTTCTTGTGAAGTGAATAGGAACAAAGGACCCGGAGATGATGATATGAAGGAGATCAAGGATATGCTAAGGTACCTTGTGGGAAATAATAATGAGACACAACTGTAGATACAAAATCAAGAGGCAACTATTCACAACTTGGAGGCTCAAGTGAGTCAAATAGTTGAAGCTTTTAATGATCTAACAAGTTAATAGTATGGATAGTAGCTAGGAGCAGTGTGCATTTGAGATAGAAATTGAGGTGTCAATAGAGGGATCCAGAGTAGAACACCAACACTCTAACCAGCTAGAATTTGATGATGTCAATGTTGAAGAAATAATACTAGAGTCAGGCAAGGACATTGAGAATACAAATTTAGTTGACTCTAGTATAATTTGTGTTGAGGAAGCTGAAAATCTTGAAGTTCAGGTATTTGAGCGTGTCAGACCTCATTCCAAACACTTTCCTACATTATGTTCGGATGGTGAAATGAGAATTGACCCTTATGAGCATAAAAAAGGAGTCAAGGGAAGAGGTAGATGAGCCTTATATTTTGAAATTTTCAAGACCGTCTAGGCAAGGTAACACCCCTCGGTCGAGAGCCAAAAGGTGCATGGAAATTTACTTAATTTTTGGCTCACAAGAATTTGTACCGCCCCAGGATCATAATCATAAGCTTGAATCAAAACTTGGGATTCAATTCATAAGTTCGAGGCGGAGGCAGAGGTAAAAAGTGGTTCACGTCGTATCACGACATTAAATCAGGCGCTTGTTGAGAGGCAACCCAACTTTACTTCTTTATTTTATTTTTAATTTTTTAATTATTTTTTTACTATATTATTTATGTAGTATCATTTTTATTTTATAGGATCATGGAATGCAAAGCAATTGGAAGGATGCAACAACAAGCCAGATGGTTAGAACTAAATGTGGGGTGCCCGCACAAATAAGAATATCCGGGGAGAAGTCTGAGTACCTCATGAGTTGTTAGTGCTTCGGCCTTTGGCCTACCAGGGAGTTTCTTTTACCCTCTTATTATTTATGTTGTGCATTCTGGACAATGTACAATTTTAAGTGTGGGGTGAGGAGATTGTCTGGGTGACTTTATATGCTATTTTAGTTGTGTTACTTTAATTGATAATCTTTCTTTTAGAAAAAAAATTGGACTTTTTCCGACGATAGATCTTCTAGATAGTTTTCTTGAGGGATTAAAGTCTAAACAAAAAATATAAAAAAAATTAAACAATTAAAAAATACAAAAACATGTATTTTATTTTTCTTAGGTAGTAATAATCCCCCGTAATTTTTTTCGTGCCTCGGTTCTTTTTCATGGGATATAACTTGAACCGGGTAGTAGTTTTATTTTTTATTTTTTTAGATTAGAGTAGTACTTAGGATATAAAGGAGAAGAAATGATGTGATTCACACCTTTTGACTTGTTTGCTGGTTGCATACTTAGGTTC